CTCTCTCTCTCTCTCTCTCTCTCTCTCTCTCTCTCTCTCTCTCTTTCTCTCTCTCTCAAAAGAGAACCGAAATTGCAGTAGTCCTGATACGCTCTGTAATCCGAATTTTTCGTCTAGATTAAATTTCCGCTTACTTTTCGAATTACATTTTCTCGTTTATACGTAGAGTGAATGTAGTCCGACTGTGATATATTTTCAATTACTTTTTCTCCCGAATTATATTTTAAATTAAATTTTTCCTTTTAAGTTTCAAACGCACATGACATTGTACTGAAAACATATAAACCGATACTTGTTTTTACATTGATTTTGTGATGTTAATAAATATGATTTTCAATATATATATATATATATATATATATATATATATATATGTATGCAAATAATAATTTATTGTAGCGAATAGAACGACTGCCTGTTGACCTTTAGGGTTCTAGGGTCGAAATTAGTTTCGCCCGAGTTTCAACACGCGCGGCGGAAAGTTTTATCGGGATCAACTAATTCGACCCTGTGTGTGCACTCATGCGGTTAGTTCGCCGCATTGAAGATGTACGGAATTCTACGTATAGCCCGAGGTCGCTTATACCAGCAAGTGACCAAAGTAATTAACATGAAATTAATGATTGAGTTACCTTCAGATAGACAGACGTGCGTAAATTTTACAGCGATTCTTTTCAATTTTGTTTTTACTCTCAGCAAAACTAGTCGATTTCTAAAGATCGCATTTCTTATGAGTGATTAATATGGCACTTATATTTGTCACATAGAATGACAAAGCAGAAATATAAATAAAATGATTAAAATTTGCTCAAAACAATATGTGCAAAATGTAACGCGAGAATCTAAGTGTGACTTTTAGTAAATTTCTTAGTGCACTAATATAATAAAAAATTTATGTCATGATGTATTAATGATGTATTAATTCAATACATGTGCTTCATAAGTATAGTAAAAGAAATTGTTAAATTTCTAGATATCCATAGTCTCACGATAATTACAAAAGTCTATCTGAGAAAGCTCCTTGATATACAATCATAAGAAATTTGGGCCAATAAAAGTCAACTCACTTTTTGATCTAAATATAGATGTTATTTACATGGAGAAAATATTGTAACAAAAATTATAACAAAATTTTGATAATCTTGGACTATACAGCGTTACAATTAACATTACTATATATTTGTTCATAAATGAACGTTATACTTTTATTACAAAATTAATATACTTCTGAATGTTTTTTATATCAAATTGATAAGATCAAATTAAATATAGAGTTAAATTTATTATTTCTATAGTAATCTATACTATATTTTCGATATAGTCCAGTTCTACAAGAAATATTGTGAAAAGAAATATTAAATTTCAACGTAACTTTTAGTACAGTATTTTCTCCGTACGAATTGAAGAACGTCTGAAATTTAGATTGAAATGTTTATACTATTTCTTTTCTCTCTTTTTCTCTCTCTGTGACGATAATAGGAGATATTTATTTAAATTTATATATTTCGCAATTGATTATATGTATATACTTGCGTTAATTCTTAACGCAAGTTAAGTTAACGTAAGTTAACGCAAGATTAAAGTTTATTATGATTAAAATGACTAAACCGAGCACATTTGCGAACATATTTGCAGCAAGTGAATGAATCCCTCACTCTCTCTCTTTCTCTCTCCGCGATAATAATAGAAGAAATTTATTAAAATTTATATTTTCCGCAACTAGTTATATGTATATACTTGCGTTAGCTCTTATTGGTCAAAGTCAGTTTGTTACGATTATTAAAATAACTAAACCGAGCGCAATCATATTTGCAGCAGTGAATGAATCTCTCTCTTTCTGTCCCTCTTTCTCTTTCTTTCTTTTTCTCAGAGTTCCATTTTAGTTTTCATAAGTAGAGACGAAAAGGAAGCAGAAATAGCGACCGCCTGAATGGCAGGGTTTAAATCGCGAGCCAGCAATACATCTTCCAATGCGCGCGGCGAATTCAAGTGGAACCTTGCGATTCTCTCCCCCCTTCATCCCCGTGTTATTACTGCCGCTGCGCTCGTTGTCCTATTCCAACGAAAATATTCCGCGGACACACAATCGGCCCGGGCCCAGGTGACAAAGAGCGCGCGATTATTTCTGATAATTATCTCCCGATCGTTATTACATTTCGCCGCATTGTTCCGCGTTCTTTGTTCCCCACGTAATCCGACTGGGGATGGGTGCCGCCGTTACACGCGCATAATAATGTTTTAGTTAATAATAGAACGCCGCCGTTACACAATTATTTCGCTGCCGTTTTGCGCCAGTTAATTAAATAGATTTCTCGCGCGATGAGTCGTTGCCGTGGAATTGTTGCGAAAATATTTATCAATCCACTTTGAGCTTATAACACATTAGCCGTCCTGAATGTGGAGGTTGGTAGCGTTACGACGCCCAATTGGCAGTGGACAGAACTCCGAATTGTGTGACTATAGAAAACAAAAGTTTAGTATTTGTAATTATAATCACATAGAGAGAAATAATTGTTATAAATTGTGGTCAAAGAAAGCATGTTTTTTTTTATTAAATTCTGCTATAATGTTAGTGATAATAATCTTATATGCATGTCACTATTATCATTTTTGTGTTGGCATAAGCAAAAAATACGGTTGAGACCAAGAATAACTATAATTTTAGTTAGATTGAATCGTCTGTTTTCTTTCAAACTGCAAATTCAAGTGTGTTATTTGGACTGAATCCCTTTACACGTTTCTCATCCTTTTTCAAGTCAATCACGTCATTTAACACGTTTAAACGCATTGAATTATAATTTACATGTCAAGGGCGATTGTTTCAATTTCTTGATGAGTTAACTGATAGTTGAATCATATATCTGTCCAATGCCCGTTT